TGATACATTAAATTATACAGTCAGAAATTCTCTAACCGCCGATCAGTACGAAATTTTGAAGCTGGTGGAAGATTTGAACGAACATACGGCAAATCGCGGTTTTCTATCGCGGGTAGTTCGATGCGTAGTCAGCTTGAGCTTCATCAGATGCATGGGCATTTTCGTCTGGCCAGTAATCACTAGTACCGTGCCATCTATCTTGCCATCCTTACCCTCATTTCCTATTGGTTTCGGAAGATCAATGGAAACTGAAGTACAGAGTTTCTTCGGTATGTCCACGAACGATTTCGAGAAGGAATTATTGGCGAGAAAGGATTCAATGGAAAATATTTTCCTGGAATGGTATAAGACAGCAATGGAGGACAAGTTTCAGGTAGATCTGGGTTTTCTAAAGCTTAAGGGTTACGGAAACGGTGAAATCGGTATCAGCATCAATGGCGTTCGCGAAGGTAGAGCTACGAAGATCAAAGATAACAAGAACTTGCCGAGTATTCTGACGATCATCAGCGACATTATGGAAGAAGTACTGGATCAGCGGCCGGATAACGAGAAGATGAAGAAAGAAAAAGAAAAAAAAGAGAGGAGTCTGGATGACATGCAAGATGCGAATTTTCAGCTTTTGCAAGAGAGCGACGAGTACACGGACATTAAGCGATCTATAAATGACGATAAGATAATCACCATGTTTCTAGATAAAATCAAGGCCAACGCAACGGATTTCGCCGATGGTGATGTTGCTCAGTTCCTTAACGTAGAGAATGCTTACAATGCTTTCAGCGTACTCTTTGGGACCCGTTTAAATGAAAAATTTGCGAGCAGATTAAAAGCCTTTACTGAAGAACATCTTAGGAGAGATAATCCTGAGAAGCATACGAAAAATCTCAGTATGGAGGAAATAAAAGTAATACCGTTGAAGGAAGAAATGACCTACGAGCTTCAAAAAGAATCTGTGGAAAGTGACAAAGAACGCAGAAGAGATCACCATGCAAAGAACGAATTCAGATCTTTGCTGAATGAATATTCAGAGAAATTAGTAAAGAAATCGGAAGTGCCTATGCAGAAGAACGAGGATCCAGATAATGAAAATACAATCAAAGATACGGAATGGTCCTCCGACAAGAATATGCGCTCGGAACTGAAGATTTACTTGCCACGTTTGCAAGAAGACATTATGTCTAGGAAAATCACGAG